CTTTCCAGACGTCATCTTCTCACTGCCGGCCCCCTCCCGTGCCCCCCCCCCCCCCCCAAGCTTTCCCAGCACGTCAGCGCAGCTCATCCAGTACACCCTGCCCCCACTCCCCATGTATAAACATATCTGCTGTATGTGTATTTGAACTTCTGTCTGCGTGTTTGGGATGCATGAATCTGAGGGCATAAAGTAGGCACTAATCTGCCATCCTTATTTGCCTGTCCTTCCTACCAGGTCCCCGCCCCCCCCCCCTTCTGCAGATCTGATCCAACCCCCCACCGCCTGCCGACAGCCAAAGCTACCTCTGGCCTCCTGCCGCTGACACTCATCAGCCATTCAGGAGAACACGCCACCGCGTGTCAGGAACGCCGGCACGGACAAAACTGCAGCCTGCGAGGTGTCAACCAGCGAAGCCGCCATGTGCTCGGGCTCTCGGCGCTGCCTCCTGCTGGAGGGGGAAAGAGAGTGCACCACATCAGTTTTATTATGCTGTTTTCACACCCACCAAATGGAGGACTAGACAGGCAGGAATAACCTGTGATACTTCTGGTATTACAGCCATAGGGCTCGTATCAGCAGCCTACGTTACCCACCACACTGCCTAACACAGGATCCTACACTGGTACTGCAGCGGGGGGGGGGGGGGGTTAGGAGGAGGTCCGAGGCTCTGAGTGCATCGTGGTGCACACGGCCAACGGCAGACACATTACATCACTGCAGTGGCGTGCGCCACACTGACCCCGCGTAACCACAGCAACCGCCTCCACCTGACATCACAGTCTGAGGCACAGAGCAACAGTGTGACCTGCTGCTTCAGACAGGAGTGGATGCGCACACACACACACACACACACACACACACACACACACACACACTGTCTGAATTCCCATTTCAGCCTCTTTCCTAGAGCATGTCTGTCCATGGAGGTGCCTGCCCTAAATCCAGGCTCCTTCAGGGTACCGGACAGCTTCCCTCAAGCGGATCCATGCTATTTAAAACACGAACGAATCGAGACACAGGCCTTGCCGAAAGGCGGGACACCAGCAAAGGGCACAGCGGTGTTCCCCGTCAAACTCGGGACGGTTGTTCACACAGAGACTGCCCGGGTCTTAGCAAAGAGGTTACCAACAAATTCTGCAGCGTCAGGTTGTGTAGGATAATATAGTGGCCCAGAAGAATTATATTCCTGCATTAACTCAGAAAATTATTTTCGACCTTCTTTTTTATATGACGAGAGTGCATCTTACTCCTAATATATCCATCCATGCATCCATCCATCCATTTTCTGTAACCGCTTATCCTATTCAGGGTCGTGCGGACTCATAACATAATGTACCGTATTATCAGCGCGGACAGCTCTGCCCGACCGCCCGGTCCAGCCCCGCATCCGGACCTTTTATCCAGTAACCTGCATCCCCACAGGTGAGATTTATGCGCGTGCGGCACCAAGCCCTTTCCGCAAATCTCTTCCCCAACTTCCAGCTAAAAGAGGTTCTGTGCGAAAGGGCAAGTATTAACACAAGGACCATTAAACATTATTATAAACATATGTTCGGATAATTAATATGACCTGGACATTATACTTTTCACAACATACCAAGAGCCCATTCACGCAGCATACGCAATTCATTATAGCAGTACCACACTAATAATGATTTATCTAGAATGGTCTTCAATAAAATGGATGCTGCTTTAGATTCTACGTGACAGTTTACGGTTGTTTTTAATCTTTTTCAATACTAATCCAACAAAATAAGCTATTAAAAACCACTGAGCACAAATGCGATACAGCAAAGCTTCCATGGATAAATAAAATTAAGACAGTACGTCAGCATTCATTTGGTATTTAGGCGTTATATGTATTGTAAACATATATTCTAATCAGTTAAGTATCGACAGGATAACTATTTGTAAAGTAATTGCGCGAACCGGTTCATCTTAAAGTTTGTGCTTAAAAACTGAGGCCAATATGTTTTCCTTCCGTCTAATAACATCATGTTAATTTTCCGTATATCCTGTGAGTGTAAGGAAAATAACGTTAAAAATATAAATGTGCGTTATATAATTTTAATCACTTTTTATGGTTCAGTTCCCTCAGTTGTTAAAGCTATTGAAAATCTAAAGTGAATTAAGCAACGGATAACAGCCCACTGATAATAATATGCAGGTTAAAATATAAACAATAATATAAATAATATGCTTTTTTCAGATTTTTACATCTGGTAAATATTATTGCTATTATCGTGGTATAAAATGTCAAGCTGCACCACATCTGTGTCGTGTTTTCACCAAAACTGTCCATTACAAAGTGAAAACTGACAGGAGGTGCAAAGATAGTCATTAATGCAGTTTTATTGCCTGCGTGTGCATCCTTAATATTTCACTAACTCACAAACCAGAGTGACATGACTGTTTGATAGAGGATTAATACTTTTTCTGCTCCGTTTTTATTTTCGGAACAGCGTGGACGGCTGCGCTCCCAGCTAACCTAATATGCGATTAAATTAAATAGCGAACGGATTTAAAACGTACAAAATTTAACCGTTTCGCACGGCGTCTGTGTAAATACAGACTTCACAAGAGTGATATTTCAGAACAGTTTATATTGGATGAATTGAACAAATCTTGTGAAAATATGGGAATTTTGTAACGGGACTTTCACGAATTGTAAAAAAAAAAACGGAGTAGGATATAATATGCTACAGCAATTCTTCAAATATTATGCTATCAATTACAATATATTTAGTTTTTTATATTTCATGCAAACAATATTTAAATTAATAACGAAAAGTCTAAAAATGTACCAAAAGCAAAATTTAACTACGGAGATAATAATTGATGTATTTTTCTCAGCAAAATACGCCAATATATTGTATACATAATAGGCCTATAAAAATATATATTTTTTTCGGATTAACGGATTTTTAAACTGTGTTCAACTGGGCCATTGAAACGCATCATTCTTCACACATCACTTCTTTACTAAAAAACGGGGAAAATGCTATAATCTGAAATGGAAAGGAGCACGTAAACGTGGCAGAACTGCAGTTAATTGTATATAAGTGAAATCAGTGAAAGTTAAGAAACGATCTTTTTCTTATTCGGTGTGGTTTTAAAGTAGTTGTAAAACAAATGAATGGAAACTCACCCGAAATCAACCGGCGTAGGGATCTCACCGCCACCTGGTGCGACGGCTGCCCGGGATGCGGAGCGAAAAGCGGCCATGGATGACGGACGAGGCGAGGGACGAGGACTGAGCGACTTTCGCTATAGTGCCGTTAGGTTTTTTTCCCTTTATCTGCCTGATTATACCCAAGAAATACGATACGTTGAACTGAAACGGTCTACATTTAAACACTAATAGAATTACACTGATGAAGACAAGCTGAAATGAGGGGAAAACCGGGAGGAGCCTCTAGCGTACAGGGCAAAATGAGAAGAAAAAGATCGGCAGAAATAAAAGACGAATTAGTGTAAAGCTGCCGCGTAAGGCTGGCGAAGGGGGAAGAGGAGGAATGTAAATGCGCGTCCCCGGGCCTCGCCTCCCCGGCCCATCCCGCGCTTAAGCCGCTACCCCATTCACCCAGCGCCGCCACTTGACACATCAAAAGGCGTTGCCTTGGTGACAGCTCCACATGTTGCTGATGGTGCCCGGGTGGGGCGGTGAGGGTTAAGGGGGTGATGTTCTGGATAGGCCATCCACCGAGGGGGGGGGGGAGTGAAAGGGCGAGTGCGCAAAGGGAGGTAGCCAGATGGAGGGAGGGCCCCCATCTCATATGGATGAATTATAAATAATTTAATACCCGTAATGTAATATTATAAAGTAATTGATAAAAGTCTTTTGGGGTTACTATCACTCAGTGCAGGATGTACCTTCGAGACACGATTTAAAGTCAGTTTCACAATCTGAAGCCTTTCATGCACAAAGACACGGGATATCCCAGCTCAGACCCCTCAATTAATAAATAAATATGAACTCCCCTCCTTAAGCTCTTAATTAGTTAGGATGAAGTTCAGGATTTTTCTAACATGACGAACTGAAGGCACTATGAACAGAGCTCAGGGTCACGTGCAGATCATGCATACAGATGGTGCTGAATGTTATCTTCAGAAGTATACAGCTTACACAAATCAGGGAGGCTAACTTTGACCTCCCGACCTCCCCAAGCAGGACACCCAGCCAACAAGAGCCTCTGCTGACTGGAGGTCTGAAGAACATCCACATTCAGCCGCTTAGGTCACACTCTAATCCAAAGTGATGTAGGACTTCCCCCGTCAAGCCTGCTGGCTGACGTGCTCGCTGTCATCGATCATGTGATCGCCTGAAATGCACTCGTTATTCACGCGCCTTGCAGCAGGCTCCGGTGCCTTCTGACAGGGTACGCCGTCATGGAACTGTAAACCTGCATGCCCACATATCAATAGAAAGGAACTGGATCAAAGATACGAGATTAAATAAGGAGTCTGCTCAGATCGGACTCATCAGAGTGAACCATAATTAGGATAATGTTCATCACAGTGTCTAGAACAAAATACCTGAGCATGCATCTGAAATTAGTGAGGGGGCACGATCCCTGTAACCATGTCACAGTACCCTTGCACCCCCGGGTCTGGGTTTATGCTCTTACATCTGCATGCAGACAAAATTCATGCTCTCTGCTAATGCACTAAAATCCCATCTATCCTGGCTAACGTTTGAGTTTTGTCTGTCCATAGTTAACTCTTGGCTGTTGAATAGACTGCAGTCTCCATGCAGAGGCTGTATTTTCACATGTGCAGGGAGAGCTTTAACATCCCAGCGGAGCAGCAGCGGTTCAAGGTGAGAGTCGCCGATTACCCGCTGGTGCCGACGGCCCTCGGCCATTTGCGTAACGGGGCGCTACTGGGCGCGCCGATGAGGCAGATACATGCAAACGTATGGAAAATCTGATTAATTATAATAGGGGCCAGCAGCACAGGAGAAGCACATCCAGCCAAAAGCCAAAAACAAGCAGCAAGACTGCGGCGCATCAAAGCGTGGCTCAGTAATCAGGAGGTAAACGTCTATCGGGGTGCCAGCCAAAACCTGACATTACACGGGCATAATCTTACCATTAGACACCTTCAATTTCACCACACTGGTTTATTAAGTTTTAATACACTTGTATCATGCAGTAGACTACACTGTTCTGAACACTTTAGTGCTATTATAGTATTAATGTACTGAACTATAATAGCATTTAAAAGTATTACTACTTTAATAACTTTAATTGCAGGTCGTTCTTCTATTTGCATTTCATTGGTTTTTGAACGTCATGTGACTCATACTCCATATGTGTCTGCAGTTTAAATGCACCGTCTAGGGTGGCAGCTTAATTGCCCCTCGTTATTTTGCATGAGCCCCCCCCCCCGCGCACAAGCAAAACGGCCGTCGACCCGTCAGCTTCTGGATAATCCGACCGAAATGTCCAATGACTGCTGGGACTGACGCGCCGTCTCCGCTTCTAACTCACGGCTGCTGTGTAATGATTCATTTTTTAAACGCGTGTCTGTCAGATTACGGGGCGCTCCTGCGCTTCAGGACAACGCCCACCACCAATCACGGACGGCTTTATAAGCAATGTTAGAATAATTCATCCATCTTCTGAGGATTTATCCGGCATGAAGGAGAGGAGAATTCTAGGTAGGACGCCAGCCCAGCGCAGGGCACACACACACTAAGGGCAATTTAGAGACACCGATTCACCTAACTGCACTTCTGGACCGTGGGAAGAAACGCCGCATGCGGCGTGATGGGTGGAAATCCCAGCCTGCGACCCAGTACATGATGACAAGGCACCTGTAAAACACAACCATGCCACAGCGGTCAGCAGCGGACGTCGTCTGATGCTTACAGGCCCCGGTAAACACTCTCACACGGAGCAGCATCACACAGCGTGAGGTCTGACAGGCAGTTTGCGTGTAAGACTGAAGACAGCAGAAAGGCAGGCAGGAGGGGTTCATTAGGGGGAGGGGTTACTTTTTTTCCCCAAACCACATTTTTAGTTTGGATTCTTTGCCTCATACACAGAAAAGGGAGTATCGTTTTATCAAAGGGGTCCGGAGTCCTGCCACGCAGACCTTCCTCAGAAAGCCCTCTCTCTCTCCAGTGACGTAGACTTTCTCAGGATGGCATTGTGCGCGCGTGTGTGTGTGCGTGTGTGTGTGGATTAGGTTATTTTGACGTTTTTCAGGTCCCTACAAAGATCTGTTAATGCAATCAAAAAGGTAAAACGTCTTTTCATTCGGTCCCCACAAGGAGAAACACAATTTCATAAAAACCTGTGACTGCAATCAAAAAACTTAAGACACCAAAAGTCTTGTGTTTCCTTTGGTTACTTATGGTTAAGATTGAGGCTGGGTAGGAGTTCAGGTTGTCATTGTCTGGATTAGGGTTTTGTCCATAGAAATGAATAGATTCCCCACAAAGATATGAATGTGTGTGTGTGTGTGAGAGAGAGAGAGAGATAGAGAGAGAAAGAGTGCACACGTGTACACCCCTCACTGTACGAAGAAGCGATCACAATTAACAAAATTGCAGGATAATCACAGTAGGGGTCTGGCAGCCCCTCCCACTCTCACCCCCCACCCACCAATGTTCTCTATGGAACGGAGAGCCGTGACACAGCAACGGCAAATAACAAATGCGCGAATTCATCAGCGGTGAGCGACGGGGGCAGAGAGGGGTCAGCCGGATTTATTCTCTATAATAGAGTGACTTTAAAAAGAGGCAGGTGCAACTAGGTCTCATTACCGAGGCGGAGAGGGGAGAAAGGACCAGAGTGGCGGCACACAGACCCCCACGCAGCCGCCCGCACGCCAGGCAGAGAGGCGAGCGCTGCGCGGCCCTCCACACAGACGCCGGCGGGATAATTAAAAATATGAACAGCAGGCCGGCAACAAAGGACATTATCACGGACTCAAAGGTCCACAACAGCTGTATTCGAGCGAGGCGGCAGGGGCAATGGGGGGGGGGTGCTGAATATGCTCTGATAGAGAGAACAAAGAGGAGCAGAGGAAAGTGGGGGCCCTGAGCTGGGGGGTGGGCAGAGACAGAGGTAACAAAAAGAGTGACAGGCAGAGAATGACGAGGGACAGGGCACTATGGGAAAAGAGACAGCAGATGATAAGGGGGGCACAGGGAGTGTGGTGAGAGGGAAAGAGTGGGATGGGGCGGGGGCCGTTCACCCCAAATCCAGGCACGATCAGGGAACATCTAGCGTTCATGGAAAAGCCTGGAAACTGCTGCTTAACAGCTCACCGAGCACGTGTCTGTATGTCCCGGAGGTAAGCGGGTTTGTCCAAAAAGGGGGCAGGCGATTCGGAAGGTTCTGACCCACCTCTCCCACTCCTGTCTGGAGGATCTTCAGGCCCGTCTCAGACTCCAGGAAGGTCTTCTCTGCCACTGTGGGACCAATCAAAAAGCCTTCTTAAAAAATACACGAGCTGCAGTTCCCGAGATCTACCGACACCTGAGAAGAATCGACGGCGTCAAAGTGGTAGAAACTTTCCAGTGCCTTTGCATTGCTACTGCCAGATTCCAGAATGATCCATGTTAAGGTTCAGTAATAAGTAAAAGACACTGTAGTCTCCACCAAGAGAACCGGACCTTAAACGGGTTGTCAAGCTTACTGCCGATACCAGAGGAAAGGTTTTGATGTCACGCTGGCTGCCATCTTAAATGCTACAGTATCACAGTGATGTTACATGCATCAAAATACCTGCAGAGATCGATAGTACAGCTCTGGTCTACATAGCTCTTTGTAGGTCAGCATATTGCTACAGAGCACAACATATTAGAATCCACTACAAACTGGACGTGTCCGAGACAACACTCATCACATGCTGTCTAAAGGAAATTAAAATGTTGTTACAGATATGTTTTAATTTCCACTTATCTGCCAGTGGATGATGAAAGAGCTAAAACATCTTTGTCTTGCTCTCGCTGAATAGCCTTAGACTCCCAGAGGATAACTGCCGTCAGCCAAAGTCTTTATCAGCCACTGTCTGTCTTTACCTTTGTCTCTGCTGCTCTCTTAGAATTTTCCGGAACTCACAGACATAATGAAGTAAATGGTTTTGGGTGGGGGTAGGGGGGGCAGAGAGCACCCATAGCAGTCGGTGAAGGATGGGATTCTGCCTCACCGCGACGGTCGGTCACTCACCGGCCTTATCAGCCACGTCGTTGGCACTGAGATTCTGGTGGTTCTGTCGGACTCTGAACATCAGGGCTGGACCCACCACACTGGAATGACAAGCAGGGGAAGATTGTGGGTGTAGCAGCTGCTGAGGACTGACAGATGTGGGAGCCAGCCGGGGGCCTCACCTGATGTTGATGAATGTGCTGGCGGGTAGGTGGATCCTGTCAGCGAAGGTCTCCAAAAGACGCACCCCATCATAGAGGCTGAGTCGTCTGCAGGGACCAGGGGTGCACAAATGTTATACCTCTGCAAAATTATGCAAAAACAGGTCTTTTATTTTACCAGAGAGCACCATAACAACCCTAATGTCAAACCAGTGTGACCTACCGCCAGCCGTCATACCACACCATGTGAACGACAAACTCCCATCATGCCTCAGCAACATGATCCACAAACTCCCATCATGCCTAATCGTGTCATACAAACTCCCATCATGCCTCAGCAACATAACCCCTAAAAACTCCCAACACGTCTTAACAATGTGACCCATAAACTCCCATCATGCCTCAGCAATGTGACCCATAAACTCCCATCATGCCTCAGCAATCACGCCTTACCAACGTGACCCATAAACTCCCATCATGCCTCATTATGTCCCACAAACTCCCATCATGCCTCAGCAACGTAACCCCTAAAAACTCTCATCATGCCTCAGCAACGTAACCCCTAAAAACTCCCATCATGCCTCAGCAACGTGACCCATAAACTCCCATCATGCCTCAGCAACGTGACCCATAAACTCCCATCATGCCTCAGCAATCATGCCTCACCAATGTGACCCATAAACTCCCATCAGGATCGGAATGTTCTGCGTGGGTGAGACGTACCCGCGGTTGGTGACTATGTATCCATACTCCTCCTGGGCCAACGAGCTGTCCACTCCTCCGAGGGCTGCACTGGAGGCCTTTGATACTGTCCTCCCCCCTGTGTTTTCAGCAGACAGCATGGCCTTCGACCCTGATGCAGCACCCCCCACCGTGACTGCCTGTATTGGTGGGGCCCCTTTAGGGGGGGGCTGCTGGAGAGGGAGCAGGTCCACCGAGGGGGCAGGCAAGGGGTTCCTGTCACCTTCGTGCATCATCACACCTTCTGTCAGCAGCGCCTGCAGGAGCAGATTCGGACTGCCATTGTCCCATTTTTAGTTACTATAATCATCTACTTTGGTTTATTGATGAGCTGTCATAAATATTTACCCCAAACAATGTCTCTATGAATACACACTGCCCTCTTATGGCCAGTAGATGAAATAACAACAGATGATAAGAAAATGAAATATTACAAGCATGAGGTCATTCTGCCTATGTTGTTTGGATACCTAATATCCAAACATATAAAAGAGATGTTAAAATGCTATCTACAGCTAACTGAATGAATACAAGGACACTGCAATGGTTGCATAGCTTATCCACATCCAGTGCCAGTTGTAAAAATTTTGACATTTTCTAATATCTTTTACAATCATTAGGTTTATCGCCAACCACTGAGTTCAAAAGTCAATGTTAGTCTTGTTTTTGTGCAAAGGTGTGTAATTATTGCAGTAATATTCAGGCAGCTTGTACCTGCGTTACATCACATCATATCTGGGTAAAGGTGGCCGTATGTTTCAAACAGAATCAACAGAATCGACGTCGTTTCACCAATAGGATGTCATACGAGCACATCGCCTGTGTAAGGTCCCAGAAGTGATTTTTTTCGTTTGTTCTGGTCCCGCCCACTGTCCATGATTGGCTGACATAATGTGACCCGACAGAGTGGGTCAGCAAGACTAATTATGCAGTTACCCGTATACTTTACACCACACTGCATGTATCTGTGCAAACTGTAAATTAATGAGTGCAGTCATATTTCTTTATTAATATTGCATGTCTTAACGGCGTAATGTTTGCTGTGGAATGTCTGTGTTTCATTAGCCATGAGTGTCGTGTTGATTGTTGGCTTCCCTGTCCGTGTCGATGCTGGTATTAAACCAAAAATGGCTGTAAAGAAGGAGAGAAGCTTCCTCTTTAATAGAGCTGCCTGTTCCTTTATTAAAACGACTCACGCATCTGCCACAGAACCTTTATTTGCGCTCTGCATGTGTGTCTGCTGTATCAAAACCATCCTGCGCCTTCTCTGATTATGGCGTGGCACCAAACAAGCTGGTGGCATCGTTTTATGCACGTGACGGACTGTTCGGTTTTGTTTTACCCGGATGTCGTTTGACATATGCGGCCACCTTGTGGCCCCAGCAGAAGGGCCTGCCCCAGCCTGCTAACCCCCAGCCTGCTAACCCACGCAGGGCAGGGTCACCTCCAGACCTCCCTTTACCTTTTTCCCTGTGGCTTCAGCCTTTTGGAGCCGATCTGGACAAGAAAAATAGTACATCAGAGCATTCACACAATAATAAACAACCGGAAAAGTATTATGTCCATCCTCTTTCTAACTCTTCTTTCTGGCCAGTGTCACAGTGCGACCTGCAGCCTGTCCCTGGCAGCAAAGAGCACAAGGCTGGGTGCACACCTAGCCACATGGATGCCACATTTCCTATCAATCTTTTGATAATATCTTCTGTATACATGGGAGGTACCCGTTACTATTTGGCCACCATAGCTGTCCCACCTGCAGATCAGACTGGGTAATCCATATAAAGCTAAGCAGGTTTGGCCCTGGCCAGTAATTGAATGGGAGACCTGCTAGGAAAGCTGGGTTGCTGCTGGAAGAGGTGTTGGCCCATCCTGGGGTCTTTGTGGATCGCAGTACAGTGACAAGAACACTGTGCTGTAAAAAGGGTACCATCCTTCATATGAGATGTATAAGAGGTCCTGATGCTCTGATGTCATAAAAGATCCATGGGCATCATTCAAAAGAGTAGGGGTGGTACCCCAATGCCCTGGCTGAAGCTGCCCACTGTGGCCCTTTTAAATCTGACCTCCTAATCATCCGCTGTATCTAACTGGTGAATTCTTTCCTGCTCCTTCACCACCTTAGCTACTGTGTGGCCAGTGTACTGGTGCAGAATGGCTGCCATTGCATCATCCAGGTGGGGGCTACACAGTAGTGGGGGATGAAGTGGCTCCTCATTGGTTCTGTAAAGTGCTTTGGGTGTCTTGAGAAAGTGCCATATAAATGCAACATTCATTCTTAGCGCCTGCGAAGTACCTTTTAGCATTTGGCTACCTTAGCATACCTGGGAGGTTCCCTTTTGCGTGTGGCTACCTTAGCATACCCCAGGAATTAGCCTTTAACATGTGGCTACATTAGCATGCCTGGGAGGTTCCCTTTAGCATGTGGCTACCTTAGCATACCCCAGGAATTAGCCTTTAACATGTGGCTACATTAGCATGCCTGGGAGGTTCCCTTTAGCATGTGGCTACATTAGCATACCTGGAGCCTTCAGGCTTTCGATGGGATGAGGCCGCAGGGCACTCATCAGGGTTTCCAGCTGCTGCGGGGAGAGGTCCTTCACACTGACTCCGTACCGCTTCAACACACCAACCAGCTGGTTCAGAGTCGCTTCTGTACTGGGGGGAAGGGTGAGAGGTCAGCTTGTGGGAGACAGGTACCGCCCCCCTGAGGGGAAACAGGCAAAGTACTGACCATCCAGCCTAGAGAGAGTGCCGTAGTTCTGGGGTGCCTTCTTTTGCTGTGGCTGGCTGCCGACTTCCTCCTCCTCCTCCTCCTGCAGAACCAGGTTCTCCGAGTAGTCTAAAGGCAAATCCAAAGCCTTGTAGATGGGCCGGGAGGAGACCCCTGCCTGGTGGCGGGAGGAAGGCTGTCCAGGGGACAGATAGAGGGAGAGGACATCCTCCAGCAGCTGCCGGCCTCGTTCTTCAGCCCTTGGCAAGCCGGCCCGACTGTGCGAGGTGGAAGGCCGGGCAAACTCTGCTCCGTCCAGAGAGTTGAGGGAGCGCTCTTCTTCATCCGGATACCCAAACTGCAGGGATGATGCAGAAACAAGGAGGGGGGCACTGTCAGGCAGGAATGGGAACGCCGCCGGGGAATCAGAATTCATCGACCACGGTGTGCACTCAGGCGTGAGCACATGCCGGCTCACCTGCCGGTAGGTGTATGGGTCCGGCACCGGCGCCTGCATGCGGAGGGAGGCCTGGGGTCGGCCCGGTGCAGCCACGGGGTCCAGATAGCGCTGTGCCGTGGCTGGATTCAGCTGACTCATATCTGGCAGAGGCTTAGAAGACGACTTGTCCAAGGGCTGGTAGGGCCTGGAAGAATCCAGGCAGTTACCGTCACATAGCAAGTCTTTCCTACTCTGAAGCACTTAACAGAGATTCAGCAGCATTACGAGCTGATGTGAAGGAATGTTGTTGTAAAGACTGCAGTTAAAACTACAGCGTGATAAATGTTAAGCATCATTGTGGTGACAGGAGGCAAAGGAAGGTGCTGGTACCACAGTGAATAGACAGGAAATCCTTACTGGGGAGGTGGGCCATCCCAGGGAGTGGCGGGGGTGCGGGACTGAGGGACGCGGCTCAGCTCCTTAGAGATGACGTACTGGACTATGTCATCCTGCCAGGAAAGACCTGCATGCAGACAGCTGTCAGTGTATGTACACTGGAGAGGTCTGTATGGACACACAAACACACTGGAGTGGTCTGTATGGACACACAAACACGGGAGAGGTCTGTAGGAACGGACACGGACACACACACACACACTGGAGAGGTCTGAATGGACGCACACAGGAGAGGTATGTATGTACACACACGCACACACACTGGAGAGGTCTGAATGGACGCACACAGGA